AGAATCAGAAATTGGGCAGGGAAACAGCAAAGATGATGCACTATCACCACCCTCCTGCCATCAACACAGAGGCAGTGGCTGTAATATGCAGGTCTCTCCATGCTTCTGTCCTCTGATCTCTTGCTAGTGACCTCTACTGGCTACATTCAACCAGTAGCAGAAGCAGGGATAGACATTGTGGATGTAATAATCTACAATAGGTGAAGCAGATGTTAGGAGCAACAACAGTGAATATCTAACATGCTAACATTAAAGTGTTAGATTTTAATTCTATTGTAAATTTTTCCATATTTAATAATTACTACTAGAAGAGTAGTAGAAGCAATAGTTTTAACTTTGACACCATGCAAAGTATTTGGAATTACTACAACTGCTAAAGTACTTTTAATCATACACAAACTCTTTTAACAATCTTTACCTTTGTAAACATTAGATATATATAAAAAGAGAAATATAGCATGGCCCCTGTCCTTTGGGGGTCTTAAGATTTAATTGGGGGAGACAACTAATAAATAACTGTAATTGCTTTCTATATATCTATAGCAGGATGTTAGAGTAGGGCTTTTTCTGTCTCAGTTTTGGCTAGGCTCGAAGAAAGTGGCAACTATTCCTTCATTCAGTAGTGAAGTGGAATACTACAAAAAGGAGAAATTAAAAAAATGGGGGGGCTCCTTTCACAACCACTCATTTTTTAGTCAAAAACTTTGAAGTTTACAAAATTTTGAAAGGTTTTAACAGTGCTTTTCCTCTACCTCCTGCTTAGGGAGAGAAGGTTTATTGATTCTTTGATGCATGACCCCTAGAGTTGGGGGACCCTGTGGGACACACTGGATTAGTTTCTAAGTCATATCTGAGTAATTTATTCATTTAATACTTATATGACACTTTTTAAGTATAGGCACTATTCTAAGCATAAATGACATCAGAGGTGAAAAAATATCAAGATCTCTTACCTTCATGGAGTTAACATTCCAGTACAATATAGACAAGAAGAAATTTTCACTGGCTAAAAATATAAAGATGCTTTTTAATTTGATCACTTCTCAGAGGTATGAAACAAAGCAACTCTATAGACGTTTGCTTTTTTTTTTTTAATCAAATAAAGGCTACTGCAAAAGGTCAAGTGGGATTAAAAGGGGACCTCCATAGAAAGAAATTAAAGGTGTCTATCACAGAAGCTAGCAAAAGACAATGAGCTGAGTGTGAGATGGCATATATTTGCACTCAAGTGCAAATGAAAGATCATCGCTAGTATTTGCTCATTGAGATAAGGTAAGGATGGAGGTGTTTTCAAAGGCACAAAGTAGTAAGTGTCCAATATAAATGTCTAAGCTCAGAGAACATCAACCTTTAATCACAGAACTCTACTAACCAGGCTAAGAACACTATTGCTCTTTCCAGGTAGACTTGGGCAATGTAAAACAACCTAATTGACTGTGGTGGGAATAGGTAGTAGGTAGTAGTAGAAATTTTAGGCAGGAACATGGAGAGAAAATCAGCTCATCCTCTTTTGCCATAGCAGGCTCAAGCTGGTGAGAAAATGAGGCTTTGCCTCTGAATTTTTTGTGTTTATAGTGGACCTACTAATTTCTGATCTGAGGCTGTTGAATTGACAACTTTTTATCGCTGACTGACCATGAGACTCATGTCATATTTCATTTTAAAAAATAGGGTAGGATTAATTCTACAGGGTATGTTTTAACATTGGTGGTGGAGGAGAGGGGGAGAGAAAAGTGTGTGTGAAAATAAGTTATTTGCAAATTTTATCCTATACAGATCTTTATAATGAACTAGCTACAACTGTTAAGCAGAGTAATACACAATGACATTTTACATGTTCATGAGGAAGAACTTTCAACCTGGCTTGTTTTTAATAATTTATTTTTATTTGATTCTAAAAAAGCCTGATACCATTTATCAATGACTTTCTTTTTTTTTAAAGATTTATTTATTTGTGCATACAGGCCAGAGGTGCAGGGGCAGTGAGAGGATTCGCCAGAGACAGAGTGGGGAGCAGAACAGGCAGTTCGTGGAAGTACACTGCTGAGGGGAGTAGTGGGTGGGTCAGGAGAGGTCTGCAGCACCACGTGGGTGCTGGGCTGGCAGGGATTGAACTCATGCAGAAGTGGCTCTAGCTTCTTAGTGCTGTGCTTTAACCCTCTGCGTTACCAGGGAGGGCCTGACTTTTAAATTAAAGAGGTAATGCTATACTTGCTGACTCATTTTTCCTATTAAATATCTTTTGAATCAACTTTTCAGCTCCTGATTAAGAATCAAAATGTATTGTGAGTCAAAGCCCTAAAACATGTAGAGGAGCTGAGAGTCTAATAAAAATTGGAGTGAGTTTTTAGAACATTTAGTCTCCACAAAAAAAACAACCAAACCATGCTTCTCATGGCTTACTACTTGTCATTGGAAGAGTCAATCTGAAGAGTCTAGGCAGACACTGTGAATGAAGGATGTAACACAAAGCCCTACATATTTGTGAAATAATAATAATAATAAAAAGACTTTGGAATAAGAGAATCATCCTTCCTTCCTTCCTTCAATGAATGCTTAATGAGTGCCCACTATTATGCCAGGTTTCCTTAGGAAGTAAGAATGCCTCAGTAAGTAAAATTTCTATTCCTGAATGTTTATGTGATTCACCTAAGATGCCATGGGCAACTCTACCCCACCTGCTCTGGCAGGTAGTGACAGTGAAAAACATCTCCAAAAACTGCCAAACATTCCCTGGAGGACAAACAGAGAGCACTCTAAATAAGTAGGTTACTTCCACTACAGAGCTCTCAAAGGAAGTCAAGTCTAAAAATATTTATTGATGGTGACAGTAAGAATTTTTACCTTGGCTAGGATTTTAATAAACACAATGCTTTCCCTTTGTCACACTCAACTTACAGTTGAGCTAACTTCATTGTTTCTTTTCTTTGTACCCAATAGATCCTTCTATATAAATAGCACAGTAACAAGAAGTTAACATCCTAGTAGATAGGAGCTCCTAAAATTGATAAATGGAATGAAATGACAATTCACTAAAGTAATATAAACAACCAAGAAATACATGAAAAAAATTTTTACTAGTAAGCAAAAAAGACAAATAAAATTAAACCAACAAGTCTTTTTTCTGCCTATCAGCTTGATAGAACATAAAAACGTACTTACCCTACCTGGTACTGGTGAAGATATAAAGAAAGTGGACTCTCAGGCACTGTAGAATATAAATTGAATAACTTTTTTTTTCCACAATATAACCACATTAATCAAAAATGCAGATTTGCATTCCCTTTGTTCCCCAGAATTCTATTACTGTGAATTCATCATAATGAGGTAATCAGGAAAGTACATAAAATATGTGCATATTTAACAATTTTCACTATAGAATTTTATAATAGCAAAGACTTGGAAATAATCCAGTTGCTTACCCCAAGTTAATTATTGTATTTCCACACAATGTGCTAATGCGTAGTTACTGAAAACAATATGTTATAAATAATTGCTTAAGGGTATGAAAAGATAACAACTTTTAATGTGTAATATAAAAGATTTAGTATGATCTTTAAAAGTGATGTTATTATCTATCTGTAATAATAGTTATATAATCAATATATTTGAGGCATTGAACATATAAAGGTATAGAAAATTATCAAATGTGTATTCAGTAAACAATTTTAAAGTGAGCATTAATTTACTCAGTCAATATGCATTATTCATTCATTTAACCTTATCTTTTATGTACTTATGCGCTAGGCACTGTGTTAGGTGCTGGGGAAACAATGTGTTAAATCCACTGAAAGTGACAACAACCAGTATTAGTAAATTTGAATAATGCACCCTTATATACTACTATTGAGAAGATAAGTGGTAAAACATTTCAAGAGATCACCTTAGTACTTTTCAATTAAAAGCCTTAGAATCTGTTTCGTAAGATCTTACAATTCCATTTTTACTAAAGAAAGGAGCATAGATGCACTTACACACACACACACACACACAAAACTATCAAGCAGCTCATAAATGAGTTGCTGGGAGGGTGAAAGGGCAGAACCTAGCATGAATTTGGTTGAATAAAATATACCTTTGTTCATAATGCAAAATACTAGGGAGTACAATGTTTCATGTGGAAAAATGCCCAAAATACGTAAGTGAAAAATGTTCTAAAAAGTGTGATATTAAGTTGCTCTGAACTTAAGTAGATCATGTAAATGATCTGTTACTTTATCTGCAAAGCTCAGATTCTCAAGGTCACTTTCAATTCTCAACTTACCTGAGTCTAGATACTCATCCTTTCTTCTTTATAAAGAAGATGGTTATTATTGGCAACTGTTTGCAGAGCTGTCCTAAACGATTTCATTTGGGAAGGGATCAAAAGATACCCTCAAAAGACAAATTGTGTTTCGGAGGAAAATGTTCATTTTTTTTCCTCAACAGCCTAATCTACCACTTTTCATGCTTTTTTTCTGAGAACGCATAAAAGACATTAGTGCCTTCAAAGAGTTCAAAATCTAGTGGGGAACACTAATAAAGAGTGAGCAAAAACAACAGCACGTTGAAAGATGCGTTCTTCGAAGTCTAGGGAAAAGGATTTCAAAGTAGAAAAGCAGATACCCCAACAACATACGCAAGGAAGAGTATGGTGACACATACAAGTCGTTCTTCTCATAGTCACACACCACATTCCCAAATCTCTACGGCCGTCTACTGAGGTTGAATGGTTCACTCGGTCACCCGAGTTGCAGCTGTCGTGTCCAGGGATTTCAGTTACATCCGGCCCAAAGGCGAGAAACTGGTGGGAATCTGCATAGGTAATGCCACTAAAAATCCAAAAGCGATGGTGCAGAGTGGGGGCCCCCCGCATCTCTCAACTGCTGCTGGCACTCCGGGCCCGAAGTTTCCCGCCAATCTCAGTCCCCTACCATCACCCGCTTATTCTGAGGTACCGCCCATTCCCACGAGGGCTGAGCGTTGAGAGGGCGGGGGAAGTGATGGACGCCTATCGATATCTCTGGGATAGACTACTGAGCCCTGCGCTGCCGCCGTCAAAGTCCTGCAGGCTTACATGTAGATCGCCGAACGATAGTTTCGGCAGCCCTTCTTGATCATAGCTTTGCAGGAGGCCGCGGCCAGTCCCTCGCCGGAACCATGGTGCGTTGGATACGGAGTCCAGGCAGGGTTGGGAGTAGAGGTCTGCTCAAGGGGAGATGGCGAGCCGCGTCTCTGTCATCCTCAGAGCGACCGGGGACCGCGGGGCATGGAAACTTTAGCCGACAGGAGGGTTCCGGCAGTGATTCAGCATCTCGGGCCTGACGGGGAATGAGGCGGTCGGTAGTTAGTGAGGCCTTTTCCCGGGTTTGTTTCCTTCCCAGTGGGGTATCGGACACTACATTTTAACTTAACTGATTTGGCCCCAGAAGTTCTTCCCGTGGAGGTGATTCCAAGCGGGGCAAGGCGGCCCCTCGTGCTGGGTGTGGGAGCCAAATAGGGAATTGAATTCAGATCTCCTGGCTCTGCCTAGTGCGGTCTTCACCCAAGTTTTCGGTTCCCTTACCTCATGCACTTTCCAGGCGGGTGTCCGTCTGATTTATCGCTTCCCTAGCGCTCTAGACGAAAAGGCCCTTTTCGATCACATTGTCTCGTCACCCTGTCTCACAAATGAGCACACCAAGACTTTGAGAAGTAATGTAATTAGATTTGCAGAATCGGGCTTAAGGCTTCCAGTCCCACGTTTGCCATTCCAACACCCAAATCTTTTTACTCTGTTGATTTTCTCCCAAGCACTGTGCTTTTTATACCGCCTTTCAATTAGTAATTACTCTGATGTAGCTAATTTGTGTCCACCTCTAACCTCCTGAGGTTACTCATTTTTCATTCAATATGCATCTAGAAGGCACTGTTTAATCGAAGTGAGGTTTCAAAGATAAATCAGACATCATGTTCCTAATCTTAAGGTAGAAAAGGATGGGGGTTGTGGGCAGAGAGAGAGAGAGCTTTAAGACATAGATATTTGAGCTACCTTAAAGAAAGAAATGCTTTTGACCATTTATTAGGGCCTGGTATAAGGAAGAATGAGAAAGAAAATTGACACATAGGAGCTTTAGTAATTGAACCCAAGGAAGTACTTGTGGGACTCCCTTTTAAATCTACTTCCCTGTCCTGCACCTTGCTCATGGTAAATGTAGAAATTGGATTGCAAGTCAGTGTAGTAATACTCTGCCAGTGAGGTAGGTTGCCTTAACAGATTGGGTTAATGTTTAATGGAAATGGTATGAGAATTTTTGTAATGAGAGTTTTGTTAAGAATTGGGGCTTCCATGCTTATAGCTGCATTATTTACAGCAATAAACAATAGGAAAGACATGGAATCAACCCAAACGCCCAAAATTAGGTGACTGGATTAAAAAGATGTGGTACATATGTACAATGGAATATTACTCAAGAATCAAAAAGATAAACCCATGCCTTTTGCAGCAACATGTATGGAGCTGTAAGGGATCATGCTTAGTGAAATAAGCCTGAAAAAAAAAAGAAAGGAAAATACCGCATGGTTTCACTCATGCAGGAGTATAAAGGACCAAGGGAAAAAACAGTAATAATAATAATAATGATGAACAACTATATACCAGAGACATTTTACAGGGGTAAAGTAGGGAATGGGATCAAAAATGGGGGAGGGAGTGCATGGGACTATGGTGATGGCACATGGCAGATTTGGTGGTGGGAAGCCCACAGGGATCACAACTGAAATGGGAAAAGGCACAAAATGATATAAAAAATAAACTAATATATTATTAAAAAAAAAAGTTGGGGCTTATAGAGTTCTTATATTAATAGGTTCTTTTTTTACTTTCAGTTTCGCAATCAGTATGACAATGATGTCACTGTTTGGAGCCCTCAGGTAAAATATTTTTCTATGAAGTGACTTTTGCTTGGGTACAGTGTATTTAGGAACCCATAAGATTGTTAGCTGTAAAGAAAATGGATTATATTCATTTTAGATCTTTCTGAAACTTGAATTTTTATCATTTGAGTAAGTTTCCTGGTTTGAAAAACCACTTAAGATTTAACTGCTCAATTGAGATTTGAGGACTCTAGACTAAATTAATAAAAGGGCCTTGTAAGACTCTTTCTGATGACTTGCAATGACTCATGATATGTTTTGGGGTTTTTTGCCCCACTTTAGGGCAGGATTCATCAAATTGAATATGCAATGGAAGCAGTCAAACAAGGTTCAGCCACAGTTGGTCTGAAATCAAAAACTCATGCAGTGTTGGTTGCTTTGAAGGTAAGTAAAGCAATAGATATGTTCTTTAGAAAACAGAGCTATCAGAATAAAATTTTGAATATCTGTATAAAACTGTAAACTTATTTTGGTGTTTATATTTTATGATGTTTCTAGAGAGCACAGTCAGAGCTTGCAGCCCACCAGAAAAAAATTCTCCATGTTGACAACCATATTGGCATCTCAATTGCAGGACTTACTGCTGATGCTAGACTTTTATGGTGAGTGTCATCATGAAAAGCAAAAGGAACATCCCTATTCATAATTGATAACATTTCTGGAAAAGATTCTGATAGGACATTTTAGGAAGTTGTCTGCCATAGTGTTTATAAGTCAAGATTATGAATACTGTAGAGGATTTTGACCCAGTTATTAATGTTCTTGACCATGTAATAGTAATAAACTGTTAATGGAATTAATTCATATTAACTATTGTGAAGTCTCTGAATACTGTGGCACATGTTGACTCAGTTTAATGTTTAGAGCTGTGTTATGTCTACGAAGAACAAATCTATCTAAAAATATTAGTAGTTTATTTTTTGCAGAACTCAGTACTGGGTACTGGAGAGTATACAAAAGTGAATCAGACATGGGGCTTGTTGTTTAGGGACATACCATCTCATAATTCACAATGAAAGCTTGAAAGTAGATTAAGAAATAGAATTCCTGTGACAGTGGTAGAAATTCCAGAGGTGGTAGAAATTGTTTCTATTTGAAAGGCATTATATAATTGAAAAATGAGTTTTGAAATCACACAGATGTATCTGCTGCCACCATTCTCTCTTAATATTTGAAACTGAGCTAGCCACTTAAATTCTCAAGTGGTTTAATAATTTTTTTCGAGGTTTTTATTAAATACCCTAGCATGTAGGGTACTGAAAATAGTGCCTTTCATTTACCACTGAAAGTGTATGTTCAGAAGTAGAAGGTAGTTAGCCAAGACTAGTCTTTTAAGTCTCTGATAAGATTAAGGAACAAAGAATATAAACAAATAATAATTTTATTTAACCAAATCTAAAATCTTGTCATGCCAACAATACTATCAATATGAAAACTTTAAAGGGAGATATTTTGTCCTTTTTTTGTGTGCTAGGCCTTTGAAGTTTCTTGTGTATTTGCATGTAATCTCAATTCAGACTGGCCACTTACCTAGTACCCAGTATTTATATGTGATTAGTAGCTGCCATATTAGGAAATGTAGTTTTAGACAGTTGGGGAAATGGACTTAAATAAAAGTACTGATTAAATAGCTTGATTTCTACAGTTAATAGTTGGTCATTAGATGTGATACATAAACATAAACCAGGCAAGTAACACAGAAAAGAACATACCCATTTCTTGTTGTTTATTCTCTTGGATTCTTTTTTTGTCCCCAGTGCTATACTTACTTAAATCTTGTCATGTGTAACAGTGAGACCCAAGAGTCTAGAATTCAGTATCTCTTCTGAAGTGCATTGACAGCGACACATAAGTTTATTTAGTATAGGCCCTACTTCTTACACTTGCTCATTTGGAAAGCTTTGGTATGCTTTCAAGAAAAAAAAGATTAGGTATTTTTGCTGGTTGAAGTTCCAGAAGTAAGAAAAATGAACCGACAAGAGAAAGATCAGAGAGGTAAAATTGCTTTTTCCCTTGCTTTTCAGCTCTATAAGGTGTTTTCAAACAAAGATTTACTAGGACTAAGGGATATTCTAATCTTATTTTTAAAACCTCACCTGATTTTTAAAGATTTATTTATTTATGCATACAGAACTGGGGTACAGGCCAGAGGCTCAGGGGCGGTGAGAGGCCTCACCAGAGACAGAGCGGGGAGCAGAACAGGCTGATCGACGAAGTACACTGCTGAGGGGAGCAGGGGGCGGGTCAGGAGAGGTCTTCCGCGCCATGTGGTCACCTCCGGGGCAGGCGGGAATCGAACTCATGCGGAAGCGGCTTTTAGATTCTCAGTGCTGTGCTTTAACCCACTGCGCCACCAGGGAGGGCCTAAAGACCAAAATTTAGTACAAAAATGCATCCTTGTGGCCATGTGGCCCTTACATGAATGTAATCCTTGTACCTACCTGGAAAAAAGCAAAAAGGAAAAAAACTACTTTATTTGATTTGGAATAACTTTTCCCTCTTTTTTTTTTTTTTAGCAATTTTATGCGCCAGGAGTGTTTGGATTCCAGATTTGTATTTGACAGACCGCTTCCTGTGTCTCGTCTTGTATCTCTAATTGGAAGCAGTATCCTTTTTATGTCACATTTATGGACATGAACTTTAAAAGGTTTTGATTTTTGATCCTTATGTTACTAGGAATATATTAATGTTGTAGCATAGGTAAAATTTGAAAACTTTAAGGTTAGTTACTCTTCAGTAACCAACTGATTAAGACATTAATGGAAAGTTGTAAAGAAGGTGAACCATGGAAAAAATGGCTTCTAATAAAGGCATTGGGCTGTGCTTTCATCAGCTGTATTAAGCAAGTGTTACTTTCCAGACACAGATGAGCCCAATTTCAGGAAAACCATCCAAGCATTCACTTTTATAGGAGATTTAAAGTTTCTTTTTGTGGTTGTAGTTATCCCAAAATATCCTTGACTCCTTAAACCCAAAATGAATGAGGTTCTTTATGTGGGAAGAGATAATTTTGCTTACACTCACCCTTGGATTTGGTGGATAATGAAGCATTTTTTTGATACAAAAAATTCAAAATACAGCTCTGTTTCATTTCCTTCCTATGGTGGATTATGAAGCATTTAAGAGGTTTTTATAGTCATGTTTAATTTCAAAATAAATTAGAACAATCTCTTTAACTAGTTTAAGAGACCCAGATACCAACGCAACGATATGGACGGAGACCATACGGTGTTGGACTGCTTATTGCTGGTTATGATGTAAGTTCATAGAATATTGTTAAAATTTAGTGTTTTTTTAAAACCAGAATTACTAATTATTAGCTCAAAGTTAAGAACTATGTAGCATATTTCTTTTTCTACTGTAGGATATGGGCCCTCACATTTTCCAGACCTGCCCCTCTGCTAACTATTTTGACTGCAGAGCTATGTCCATTGGAGCCCGTTCTCAATCAGCCCGTACTTACTTGGAGAGGCATATGTCTGAATTTATGGAGTGTAAGTGCTTTTTTTTTGATCCATCTAGTCTTTATAGTGAATGAATAGCCACCTAAATGAAGAAAACAATCAACCTTATAGAGCATTTTCTTTAAAAATTTAGTCCATGATTTTATTATTTCTGTCACACATACTCATTTTTACTTCTTTTGGCTATAGCAGTAGTTCAATCACCAGTGGAGCTTTTCAGAATATAAATACATATCTCCAGCCTTGAAGATTCTTGATTCAGTTGTTCTGAAGTGTGTCCAAGGCAGAGTTGAGGAATACTGTACTAGCTACCAATTGTAAATTCTGTTTAAAATTTTTAGTTTTCTATGCTTATTTTTACTCACACAGACATTACTTTATAAACACTTAAAAAGGCAGAATATTTATCAGAAAGAAAAGAATATAAGGTATGATGGCAGACATATTTTCATGTGCTTTGCTTACACAAGGGTCTTAAATTTTTATTACATGCCTTTTATGCATCTATTGAGGTGATCATAGAGGTTTTTCCCCCCCTTCACTCTTTCATGGTATATATTGATTGGCTTATATAACTAAACAGTAAACTTTTGGCTGTTTTTATTGTAATGTATTTACTTCGTGACCAACCATAATTTCAGACTGTTAACATGAAATTAAGAAATAATTGTTATTACATATAGGCAATTTGAATGAATTGGTTAAACATGGTCTGCGTGCCTTACGAGAGACACTTCCTGCAGAACAGGACCTAACTACAAAGGTAAATGTATTTTCCAGTTGTAGAGATTAAAATTATAGTTTAATCATTTTATGAATGAATATAAGTAATAAGGAGTATTTACCTAGAGTTCTTTTATTTGGAGTTATTTACCTGGACTCGTTCTTTGGAAGCTATTCATTAAGTGATGTGATTTTGAGATATCATTTTTTAAACATTTCTTTTAATATAAAGCTATAAAACTGATAATTCCAATGTCAGATATCCTTTCATGCACCAGCAAGTAGAAATATCTTTGTGTGTATTGACTGTCTACTACATGAAGGCATGGAAAATACTGTAAACACAACAAATATCTTGGACTTCACCAAACATATTTCCAAGTGGATGGAGATAGACATTATACCCATAAATAAATTACAGCATTTGAAATGTTTATAGGATGATTAAATTCTGTTAAAAAAAATTGGTTATGAAAAGAAATAGTCATTTGAGTATAGATATGAAGTGTGGAGGTGTAATTTAAAACAGGATGGTCAAGGATGGCCTCACTAGAAAAGCAGTGGGGCGCAGAAGGGCAGCTCTAATGTCCAGGAAGTCTAGCTTTTAAATTTTGGGTATACACAATTTGGAAAGATTTGCTTAGATATCTGGCATCCTGATATCAAATTTTTACTGAATCTTAGTAGCTTATGAATCCTTATCCCCTAAATTTTATCACTAAAATTTTCATCTCACAGGAGCTATTTTTGTACTGGCTAGCATTCATGGGCCATTTTAAGAATTGCTATTTAATTTTTCTGATGTACAACATAGTTCTAAGCACCTGCCAAATTCAGCACCCAAGACTTACTCTTTTGTCTAGCTGACAGATATTTAAGCCTACTCATAATTATCAAAAATGAATATTAACTCTGCAGAAGTGTCTACTTTTTCCTTTTTCCTCCTACTTTTTTACAATCTTATTCAAGTGCTATATAAATTGTTATTATGTTTCACCTAAGAATTTAAGAATTTTTCCAACCTATAAGTCTCATTTTTTTTATTTTGACCTCTCCTCCCCCATCAGAATGTTTCCATTGGAATTGTTGGTAAAGACTTGGAGTTTACAATTTATGATGATGACGACGTGTCTCCATTCCTGGAGGGTCTTGAAGAAAGACCACAGAGAAAGGCACAGGTATATAACTAATCATAACTCAAAGCCTTCTGTTTTGTCATGGTGCTATTCCTACAAGAATTCTAACTCAACCATTTTGTCTTTAGTTGTTGAGGTAGAATCACAATTTATTTATTAAGATTTATTTTTACTGGGCCCTCCCTGGTGGCTCAACAGGTAAGAACACAGCACTGCAAGCTATCAGCCTCTTCAGTGCGAGTTCAATCCCCACCCCGGAAGTGACCCATATGGTGTGATAGACTTCTCCTGACCTGCCTGCTGCTCCTCTCAGGCCTACTTGTTCTGCTCCCTACTCTTTCTCTGGTGAATCCTCTCACCCACCACACCTCTCAGCTCTACCCCAGTTCTGTAAGCATAAACAATAAATCTTTAAAAAAAAAAAAAAGATTTATTTTTACTTATGCATATTAGAACTGGGGTGTATGCCAGTGGTGTGGGGGTTAAGAGAGTTTACCAAAGTGGGGAGCAGAACAGGTAGATCTACTGAAATATACTGCTGAGGGGAGCAGTAGGCGAGAAAAGAAAGGTCTGCTGCGCCATGAGGGTTAGCTCCTGACTGGAGCTAGAACTCATGCTGCAGTGGCTGGTGATTTCTTCATAGTGCTGAGACTTTAATTCTGTGCCACCAGGGAGGCCATGATTGTATTTTTGCTGTGTGTACTAATAGTAAAGAAAAAAATAATTTCTAAAATGTGTTAATTGTATTTTAACACTAGTAGTGATAATAAAAATAAGGTCTTTAATCTGGAGCAAGACATAGTGATGAAATGCTGGATTGTTCAGTGATGCTTAGTTTTCAGAACTTTTCAGAACAAAAATCTTTGTTCAAAAATTTAACAACTAGAATTAACTATTTAAAGTATCACCTAACATCTATTTTTCTTGAGATTTTTTTATGCTATAATATTTATGATTAGAATTGTACATATTAATCAGGTATCTCTTTTACATATTTTAATTTTTCTTCTTTTAAGCCTGCTCAACCTGCTGATGAACCTGCAGAAAAGGCTGATGAACCAATGGAACATTAAGGGATAAACCAGTATATATATGTATTATCAAATATGTAAGAATGCAAGAACACATATTGATAACAATAATTTTTACTTTGAAGCAAAATGGAAATGGTGGAGTGGTATGTTTTAGGAATCAGTCCAGATGTGAATTTTTTCCAAGCAACTTCACTGAAATCATTCAGTAGGGTGCATTTTTCATTGAGGAGCTATATAATCATTTTCTAGAAAGTGTAGGTATCTACTAATGTTTTTATATGAAGAACATAGTGTCTTTGTGTATTAAAGACAACTGTGAAATAAAATTGTTTTCACCTCCTGGTGCATTGGAGTTGTGCTTGTTTTTTGTTTTTTTGTTGTTGTTGTTTTAATTTTTATTTTATTTTTATTTATTTGTTTATTTTAAAGATTTATTTATTTGTGCATACAGAACTGGGGTGCAGGCCAGAGGCTCAGGGGTGGTGAGAGGCCAACTCACCAGGTGCACTGCTGAGGGGAGCAGCAGGCAGTTCAGGAGAGGTCTCCACGCCATGTGGTCACCTCCAGGGCAGGCGGGGATCGAACTCATGCGGAAGTGGCTTTAACTTCTCAGTACTGTGATTTTACCAACTGCGCCACCAGGGAGGGCTTGTGCTTGTTTTTTAAGTAGTTTCAATTATAAGTAGCAACCTATTCCAGTAGGTCATTGGCAGTGTTTGTCAAATTAATTTGCTTTATTTTAAGTGATGGGAGAAGTAATATATAATATATAGCATAGTCTTATACCATTGTTCCAATGTATAGATTGGCTGCATTAGAAGCTGTAGAGATTTGTTTCAGAAACAAGTTTCAGTGTTCAATTTCAACAATTCTGATTTAAAACACTGTCAAACAATAATAATAGAAAAATAATTAACATGGACAGCTTTTCTTTCCAAACAGCAGGTGGCAGTAGTGATAGCTCTGGTCTCCACGTAGAGAACATTTGTAAAAATAAAAAAAGGAAAGTTAGTCCCAAATCATTTCCTCTTACCTGCTCAGCACTACTCCAGAAAATTTGTGGGCTGCTTTGCATTATCCCTGTGTATACAGATACAGAGAAGTTGCAGGATTTTTATCTTAGACCATGCAAAAGGAAATCTAATTTATAAAATAAAACAAAAACCTAAAACCCCAAAATTTATTGCTTAGAAACCTAGAAGAGTTGTTTTCTGAGATCTGTTTTTCCATAGAGTATTATACTTTTTTAGATAAGGATTTATACTTCAGATTAATTCTACAAGTAATTAGCTGCTATTGGCTTTAGACTGGTAACTATTTTAGAAATCCTTTATAGAATTACTGAAGGTAAAATGATAATTTATGTGAAAATACCTTGAAACTCCAATAAGTAAGAGAAACTGGTAACCTTGTTGAAAGACCTCTGGGTATAGGGATATGTGAAATGTAGGTCTCTACTCTTGAAGAAGCCTTAAGAGTCTGCCATTTGAATTTGGGATGAGGCCAAGTACCATGTGGCCATTGGACCTACAGTCCAGTTGTGTCAAATACATTTAACTTTGACATACACTAAACATTAAAAGAGGGACTTCTCAGCCCTCTCTAGTGGCGCAGCGGGTTAAAGCACAGCACTAAGAAGCTAAAGCCACTTCCGCATGAGTTCAATTCCCGCCTGCCCCGGAGACTACATGGCGCGGCAGACCTCTCCTGACCCGCCCGCTGCTCCCCTCAGCAGTGTACTTCGTCGATCTGCCTGTTCTGCTCCCCGCTCTGTCTCTGGTGAAGCCTCTCGCCGCCCCTGAGCCTCTGGCCTGTACCCCAGTTCTGTATGCACAAAATAAATAAATCTTAAAAAAGAAAAAAAAAATCCTTTAAAAAAAAAAAGAGGGCCTTCTCCCTCCTGCTTTCATACTCAGTAAATATAGTGGGGGTGGAGAGGTACAGATATAGCAAGTTTAATAATCTCTTCTTTTCTCAGGCAGTTTTTTCTATGCCCTTCATTCTATGAGCTGCTGGTTTGTTTGTTTTTTTAAGATTAATTTATGCATACAAGAACTGGGGTACAGGACAGGGGTATGGGGCATGAGCAGATTCACCAGAGACAATGGGGAACAGAACAGGCAAGTTGAAGACAGGAGAGGTCTGCCACGCCATTTGGGTCATTTCCCTAGTCAGGGATTGAACGTGCTGCAGTAGCTGATAGCTTCATAGTACTGTGGTTTAACTCCTTGTGCCACCAGGGAGGGCTCTGAGCTGCTGTTTCTGCTGAGTGATTATGCTTAAAGGTGTGTGTGTGACAGAGATTTTGTACCTATAACCTGTAAACCAATTATAAGGCTTATGTTGAGGGAAGAGAAACAATAATCAACATTAACTTGAGAATTTAAAATCCCAAAAGATAAGCTCTTCTAATTACTACATGTTAAATAATTATAAACAATAAAATTCTTACCAAAGTCCTCATAAAGTCCATCACTTTCATATAAAAATAAATGTATTAAGCATTTACATGCTGCTTTGCAGAACTGGTATGGTTAAAAGTCAGTTTAGTAACAGGATCCAGGATATAGACTTGATTTTTCTATGGCCACTTTGACTGTATTCTGATTTGAAGATAAGTTCTTATTCTCTAGGCCATGATTTCCTACACATCTAAATTTTTATGATCCCTTGGTATACAACAAGATCCTCATTTTCAAGTAATTCATGAATTGAAAAGTGGTCAGAATGATTTAATTACACAGTAGCATAAAAAAGTAGTCTAAAATCAAAGTGTATAGTGTTAACAGGTCAGCAAGAACTAGGTTATGACAATTTATTCAACAATCTCAAATAACTTGCAACAATATACTGCCAGTGACAGTTTTAAGTGTAGACTTAAAAAGAGGTTTTACAAAATGTTATATTTTATTGCCTTATCTAATAATTTCCTTAATTGGTCATGATAACTTTTTTCTGTAGCACAGCCAGGGCCATTGAAGTGAACTTGGTTAGCACTACAACACAGTAACCCTAAATTGCTGAATTTTTTAATATTTTTTGGGACTTCATTCTCACTTGTAAGTCAAGTGGGCTTGGAAACCAGTTAACTACATTTGTAAATGTACAGAATGGAACAAGCTTGCACACTCATCTTCAATTTATTTAAACAGGTGTGAAAAATCCAGTTTCAAAAGTTTTTATACTTTAGATTACATTCTTAATTATAGACAGGTTAGTAGGAGTCAGGAGAAGTAGCTGTGCCAATACAATAACAGGTGAATCCTTGTGTCTTACTGGTGGTGATACTACTAAACAGTTAAAACTACCTAGAACTAAATACACAAATGAGTGTATAAAAAACTGATGAAATTTGAGTTAAGTATCAACATCAATTTCCTGGATTAGGTATGATGGAAGAAATTAAGTGAAGATTATATGGGATTTCTTGCTCTACTTATTATCTCAAAGTTTTTAAAAAGTACACAGGATTTGAGAAATAATCTTAGAATACATAGCCTTCTGGATACACTTCAGCTGCTTGAAGACTTTTTTTTTTTTGGCTGACAGTTCCAAAAAGAAGAAATTTCAAAAAGCTAAGGGTTTATTCTCACAGACCTCTTTGTATTTACAGTATTTTCCTGAAGGCTTCTTTTTTTTTTAATTGGCCAGAAAACTTTTTTTTGAGGGGACAATAAGAACTCAGAGTCGACAAAACCCAAAATACTCTAACTTGTTGCAGGGCTTTGAAGATAGGTAAAATGCTTAAAGACAGTAACAGCCGACCTCCCATCATGCTTGGAAAAAAAAGTGTTAATCTACTGAATGCTCAGAAAAGATCATGAAAGGAACCTGATACTCAGTAAGGAGCACAAATGCCCAGTGTGACAATACTCGTGATGTTAAGAACTGGAATGAATCCTCACATAACTGATGTTCTTTATTGGAAGAACTAAAGTTACATTCCCAAAAAGTAATTTACTTTCCCAGTTTATTAATGTGTAACTAGAAAAGGGCTTTCACTTCCCAGTCTAGTGCTCTTTTCCCACTAGATCACACAGTCTTGGAAAATGTTTCCCCTCCAAACACTTGCTCCCCTGGGCCGTTTTAGTTCTTGTAGGAAAAACAACATATTTCGTTTTTTTTTAAGGTTGATTTATTTATGCATACACAACTGGAGTATGGGGAGGCGGAGGACAAGTGTGTGAGAGGATTCACCAGAGACAGCGGGGAGCAGAACAGGCAGATGCACTGAAATACTCTGCTGAGGGGAGCAGCAGGTGAAACAGGAGAGGTCTGCTGCACTGGTGGGTCACCTCACTGGGCAGGAAACAGATTTGTAGCAGTGGCTTCAGACAGCTTCACAGTGCTGTAGGCTTTAACTCCTTGCACCACCAGGGAGGGCCCAACAGCAACATATTTCTGAGCAGGTTTAAATGAGACTCAAGTAGGCTCTACGTCTGCAATCACAGCGCTTGGCCTGCAGCGAAAGCTCAATTAGGCTTTTCCACTCCCTGCTGCGGCCTGCATCAACCAGACTAGAGAAGAGGAATCTGCTAGCGTGTACTCCCAGTGCGCAATCGCCCGACGGAGAAGGCGTGTCCTCTCCGACTTGCCGTAGAGGCGAGGTGGCTGTGGCCTTAGTGCTTCTCCACCCCCTTCCACGTCAGCCAAGGACTCTGCGGAGCCGCCGTCGCTGCCGCCGCCGCTGCGGGTTGAACCGGGAGTCTAGACCGTGGTCGCGCTTTGCCGCCGCTGCAGCCCCTCGGAGCCAGGTAGCGGGTCGCGAGCCCCGATTCCCGGAGGCGTGGGGGGCTGGACAGAGTCGGAGGAACTGGCTCTCCAGTGGGAAGAAGCGGAAGGGAGTCACTAGGCCGCTGGCGGCGGGCCTGCCCCGGGAGAACAAGGAGCCTCGGAGCTGTGGGCAGACGCCCGGTTCCGGCCCGCGTACCGGCAAGGGGTCTGCGCCCTGCCTCGGGCTCCGTCCCCGGCGGAGGCCTGCGTAGCGGAAGGGAAGAGAAGAGAAGGGAATGGGAGCGCGGAGACCTCTGGAGGTCCCGTGGACTCGGAGTTGGGTCCCGCCGAGGAAGGCGATAAAGCCCTTGGGGTTTTTTAACAGTTCTGGGCTCAGGGTGACCCAACCTGAGCGGTTCGTCTTGGGTGGTGTTGAGAACAGATGGGTGTTCTCTGACGGGATGGCGGAGGCTCGGGGCTGTCTCCGAGCTCAAGGCCGTAAATCGACCGTGCGGATCCTCAAATCCAGGGCCGAGGGGGGAGGTGAGAGGTAACAGACCGCTGGCTGAGGCTGACAAGTATGGTTTTGTCCTATTAGGGATTTGTTTTTATAGGATGCAGTCAGTGTGTCT